TAGTTGAAACAGTGCTTCCTAGATAGGTGAAAGAGGTTACTTCCTTTAAGTTTCTCCCGTTGATGATGATTCCAGTTTGCTATTGTTGTTGTTGTTGGTGGTGCGGTATCTTCATCACCTCTGTCTTCTCTATATTCACTTGAAGTCCCGTCTTCGCTGCCTCTTCTATCAACTTGTTAGTTTTTGTCTGTAGATCTTCAAGTTTATGTGACATCAGGTACAAGTCATCAGTGGTGAAATCCAAGTCATCTAGGTTCTTTTCCGTCGTCCAGCGTATCCCCTCTTCTCGCTGCCAACTGTTTGCTGCATGATCCAGTTGACCACAATCAGGAATATCATGGGGGATAGTAGGCAACCTTGTTTCACTCCTGTCTTCACTTCACTTCAGTGGCATCACTGAGCTTCGCATTGTGAATTACTTGGCTGGCATGTGGCATCTTCATATAGTTGTTGAATGAGGCTGATAAAGGTTTGTGGTATTCTGTTGTGTTGAAGCAACTGCCAAATTACTCCTCGGTCGACGCTGTCAAAGGCCTTCTCAAAGTCGATAAAGTTGAGGTAGAGAGTTGATTACCATCCTATACTCTGTTCTATGATGATGCGAAGCGTTGCAATTTGGTCCACACATGATTTGTACTTCCTGAAGTCTGCCTGCCTGTTCCGGTCGTAGTTTTGAATCCAGTGCATCGTTTAGCCTCTCCAGGATGATGCGGCTTAATATTTTGCTTCTTCTGGGTGGACAGGAGAGTGATTCCGCACCAGTTCATGCAAATACTGAGGTCTCCCTTTTTCGGGAGTTTGACAAGGTAACCAATCAATAGACAGGTACCTTCTCTTCCTCCCACACCACCTGCAATAGTGGTGTGAGCATGTCCGATGTTGTCTCTGCGTCTTTTCTCAGTGCTTCTGGTGGGATCCCATCTGGTCCTGCTGCTTTCCCACATCTCATCATTTTTATGGCGTTCAGGACTTCCATTTTTGTTGGAGGATTTATGTTCACTTGTAATTCAGCAGCTGTAGGTGGTATTTGTGGACGAAGTGCAGGTGGTGGTGGTCGATTCAAGAGCTTTTTGAAGTGATCGGCCCATTGTTTCCTCTGTTTCTCTTCTTTCGTAATTAAATTTCCGTCATCATCTTTTATTGGTTTCGTCTGCTTTGATCTCTTCCCAGATAGCAACCTGGTTATTTGATACAATGTTGTCAGGTCTCTGTCTCTCCTACCAGTCGGCAGTCTGTTGTGCTTCACTTGCCAGTGTTTCGTAGAAGTGTCTTTTGTATTTGCGTGCACTCTTCTTTACTTTTTTGTCCAGTGTTTTATACATTGTGCTCAGTTCCTCATGTTGTTGAGCATCCTTGCACTGGTTCATCTTCTGCTTCACCATCCTCCTCTCCTCTATCAGCTCCCATGTATCCGTCGAGATCCATTCCTTGTCTTCCACCTTCTTCCTTCCTAATACTGTTGTGCAGGTTTCTTTCCACATAGCTTTCAAAGACTCCCAGTGTTCTTCCACACAGGTTTCTTCAGGGATGTTGCTCGATATCTCCCATTTTGTCTTGATGGCTGCCTTGAAGATCTCCTTTGTAGTTTCATCCTTCAGTTTCCGAGTGTTGCACTTGAATTGAGGTCTATCACCAGCTTCCTTGAAGGCTTTTAACTTTATTTGGAAGGTTCCTTGCACTAGATAGTGGTCTGAACCTACATCTGCTCCTCTTCTTGACCTAGTGTCATGTAGGCTGCGTCCCCACTTTCTTCACATTGAGATAAAGTCGATTTGATTTTTAGTGTGTCCTAGTGTCTGGTGAAATCCATGTCACTTTGTGGATATCCTTGTGCTTGAACACACTGCCTCACCTCCAATCACCAAATCATTGAATGCTCAGAATTCTGCAAACAATTCTCCATTCTCATTCATCTTTTCACCTAGCGCCTCTCGACCCATGGTTAGTTCTCTTCCTGTGTTGTCCCCTCCCAGTTCGGCTGGCATTCATGTCACCCCGCCCATTAGAATTTTGATATCGCCAACTGACGTCTTGTCCAGTGTTGATTGCAGTTGTCTGTAGAAATCCTCCTTTTTCTCTTGCTCTGCATTATTTGTAGGTGCATAACATTGTATGATTGTGACCTTCCTTCCTTTTGAGTTGAATCTTGCTGCCATGATCCTGGAGGAGATTGGTTCCCACTGCATGAGAGCCTTCGATGCTCTTGAGGACATCATAATAGCCACTCCCTCAGTGTGCTCGTGGTTGTCATCTGGGTGACAATGTCAGAGTAGATTATTGATTCTCCAGTTGACAGTTTGGAGACTCCACTTCCATTCCATCTGCTTTCGCAAATCCCAAGCACTTCGATGTTATACCTTCTCATCTCCTTTGCAATCTGGGCTGCCTTGCTGGATTCAAACATCGTGTGGACATTCCATGTCCCAACGTTTAGTTTCGCTTCCATCGAGAGATGAGAAGACACATCGGCCAATTGGCTTCCCGAAGGCAGGCTTCCACCAACTGGCGTCATTTCGCCTCTCCGATTCCAGCGAGGAATAAGTTTATTTTTATTTTTTATATTTTCTTTGTGCTTTGACGTTTCTCTAGTGGTTAGACTGGTTTTACGGGGTAGAGTTGCTAGCCCTATGCCCGACCTTCTCTCTTTATCGGGGCTTAGGACCGGCTAGTAACTAGTGAACTAGTTAACCACGCGAAGTTTGGAATAGAAACACATTAAATAAACTTCTGAGATCCCATACAGTGCACTGCCGATGAGTCCTAAAACTAGGGCGAAACAGTTGTCCAGTGCTCTCAGGTTTTCAGTAATTCTCCAATCGACGTCGGCTTATGATAAATACTACTTAAAAAGTGACTTCTGCTTCATGTTATCCGATCGCGCTATTATAAACATGATTGCTGAGTCACTTCAACAGGTACGTTCAGTATCCTAAAGCTACATTCAGTAAAATATCTCCATTAACATTGATGATTTAGGCGAAATATTTGAGTTGAATTAAAATCAGACTGGTAAACGTATGTTGATGGGGGTAAACTTGGTTAGATCAGTAACATATTAAGTAATGGATACTAGGAGAAAAGAGTGTTCAAGAAATCTTTGATTATCTAAGTAGGCAGACAGACAATACCAACATGGGACCTGAGTATTAAAGCGTAATTTTATCATTTGCCATACTTAATATCACCTAAATTAGGTGAGAATACATGAATCCGAAGGATAAGAAAATGAGGATGAAAGGTAATTAAAAATGGTGGAAAGTTGTCAAAAGAGAACAAGGAGAAATGATACAATTAAGGTGAAGCTTATGTATGAACATTCCTACGTCATTAACATCGATTCTAAGCAATATCCCCTACTGGCTTATTTTGTCATTTGGCTTAAACTGACAGTCAAAGACTTTATGAACTGATGTTAAATGTTAGTCAGATCACCTTTTAAACAACTTACTTGCAGATAAATACTCACGGCTTTGCACACAAGCACACGCACACATGCATCCGCACAAAATTCATATTTTGTGTTGCTGTACTGATCGAAATAGTTAAACTGACCTTGAAACAGACATACCATAGCTGCTTAACAAGTGATCATCTCGTCTATTGTTAGTCAGACCGAGACTGGAAAGGGATATATATATATATATTGTCCATCCGATCGGCGTGAAAACTTTCTTCAGCCGCGCTTTTATCTGCGCACACAATTACATAGACATAAAAGTATGCAGAAACCGATTTTATGGTTTGCTGACTTTGATGTAATTCAATTTAATCCTTATTAATGACGTGTGTCGAGATGGATATCGCTAAGTTCCGATGAGATGTCGTGACCTGTACAGTCAACCAGTTCGGAAAGGAAGTAGATAGTAACTGAAGGCCTTGGTAATTAGCTGTGTTATATTACAAAGTGACAGAACTAGTTATTTGAAGACAATCAAACTCCGACCGAGTGAAACCTGTAGGTTCTGCGTTTGACTCCTGTCGGGGGTAGTGGGTGTGTACTGATAAGGTGTTCCATAGTAGGAATAAACAGCTTTCCAGTGATCTTAGATTTTTAACGTTTCTCCAACTGATGTCAGTCCGTGATGGATGTTATCATTAAAATAATAATCTGCATAAACTTCAAACTATAATTTAAATCCATGCAGTCGACAGTCACATCAAATTTACTCAACTTGAAAAAGATACTTCAGAGATAACGAGAAAAACGAAGAGAGAGAGAGACAGTGAACGAATGTGTTCAAATGTCAGCTACCCAAATGTCATCTGACATAACTGGCAGCATTAAACCCACTTTTCTGTAAGAGGCAGGTGATTATAGAAAGCGAGACGTTGTTTGAAGGGAGATAGCTCAATAGACAAAGAAACAGTGAGTTAAGAGTAGATGGAAATAAATAAATGAAAAAAAAATCTATAAGTGTCTTAAAATGAGGAGATTTTAAAATATGAGAAACAAATTGAGTTTATTTCCATTTGTCTATTTTATTTTCTTGTCTATCCATCTGCACATATATTTATGTGTGTGTGTGTGTATATATATATATATAGTCCATATCCTCGTGTTTTGCTCAGTAAGTATATACTCGGTGTTTCTGTGTAAGGTTCAATGTACAATTCAACCGATAAGTGTAGAAATTCTATTAACTCTCAGCACTACTCTCTCGCTTACTTATGAAATCACATAGTGACTTACTCCTTAGCCGATGTTTATGTTTCGCTCATAAAAGACATTAGACTTCAGGAAATTTCTCCTACAGACCAAGAGAAGAGTAGCCTACTGTGATTCGTTTTTCCTGTGTTTGTGTGTGTGTGTGTGTGTGTGATGTACGAACATACATCTGGTGTATGCATTCCGTCAAACCCTATCTGCCTATATCCCTATTGTTCCCATACCCTTCATCATTCATACCTCTGCACTGGAACATATACACACACAAACGCCTACGCTCTCTTAAAATCCTCACCATTTATATGATATTACTTGAGGAGGCAATCTTTATTTTATCTGGAGGCCAGTAAGTTAACAATAAGTCGGTTAGCCTACTTGGAATATATATTTTCTGTTACCTAAAGCATGGCTATGCTTCTCAAGGTCATATTAATCTGACTGACCAATCATATGTTAGAAGAGATGTTCTCACATTCATACGCTAACAACCACCAAGATTACTAGCCAGCAAAAATTTTCATTTACTTGTTTAGCCATATTATTTATTTAATTCATTCATAATAATATCAGATATAAATTTAAGATTACGCTCATGAAATTGACATTTACTTGAAGTTACGTCATTAAAAATATGTAACAATACACCACAGTAAAATATTCCTGCTTGAAATATTCAGTAGCTAAAATGAACACAAAAACACAAAGCTAGCCAATTACGTATGATTCTTTCTTACACAGTGGAACCTATCGGTAACATTCTTATTAATTTTAGCATATTTTTTAGTCCTATTCATATCTGTGGACAAATTTGATACCTAAAGAGATGAATTCTTTTAGCATGAAGAAAAAATGGAGTCCAAAATGGTATATAATGTTATATTTTCTTCAGTATTGCAGCTGATGAGCCCCGTAATAGGGCGAAAGCACATCCACTATCAACTATTACACACATTAACTTTATGTGATACTATAACATAGCATTTTACCTAATTTGTAAAGTAAAGTTAATTGAATAACTGATTAGAGTTAAATTATCTCAGTAAAACAGTCAGAAAACCAATAATCGAAACAATGGAGACAGAAATTGATATGAAGTCATTTCATCGAATGCCAAGTGAACGAAGGCGCAAACTGTGGTCACTGGCAGCACGTGCAGCTGTTAAATGCCCAGATGATGCTGAGAAAGATGTGACTGTTCATCAAGAAGGCTCATTACTTAAAGGATCTGGTTCACTGGCTAAAACTCAAGATTCTGGTGTTTCAGTTGATTTTGCCTCGGATAATCAACCATATTCAACAGCTTGTTCACCGTATACTTCACATTCACATTGTCGTACAAGTTTGGATACTGAATATGGTGGAAACTATGAATACGGTAGATTAACAAAAGGTGTAAAACGATTTCATGATATTAATCCCGGGGTTACTTTGAGTGCAGATCTTGGTGATTCTATGTACAGTGAACGTGGAAGGAGTTATGCCACAAAACAGAAATCCGTATTTTCGATACCTCATATTCCATCTCACCTACCTTCGGTCAATACATATATGAGGCGTATTCGAACTGCAGCAAAAAAATTTGATCCATCGATCAAACAGGAAAGTGCAGACACATCAGGTTTGGGAAGTAGTTTAGACTGGGTATCTTTAGAAGCTGGACAAACTCCATACTACAGAAGAATATCCTCCCAGTACCTAAGTAATCCCAGAGATTTGACCAATGTCCATAGAAGCCTGGATGAAAAGCAAACTCCTCGTCCTGTCATAATCAAGAAGAATTTAACTAGTGATGATGGGGACAGTGAAGAACCGATTTTTCTAAGGAAGTATGCTACTCCTATGGTAGGCTTAGGAATTTCTCGTGAATTAGAGACAGAAAATACTATTTTACAGTCTTATCAGCAGCGGCAACAGCCTGTTCTACCATTAAAAGATCATCAAACTACACATCAGTTAGACTTTCAAACAGGAACGATTGTCAGCACCAGTGCACCGTGTTCACCACACAGACCAGAGAGTGATACTCCACCAAGACATGCTGTACAACAGCCACATATAATCGCAAAAAGCTTTGACCAGGCATCTTACAGTCATCGTAAACTACAATCCTTTCCACATTCTACAACATCACACTTGGTAGAGGGCAGTGAAAAACGTATACCAGGAGCCTATAGTGACCATTCAGATGGAATGGAATGGCCTATTATTACAGAAGCTGATCTAGCTTTGTTTAAGTATGCCTCAGATACCGATGGTATTTCACGGGCTCAAATGATATCAGATATAAGAAATCGCTCAGTACATTGGGCTCCAACATACAGAAGAGTTCATCAACAGTTTCCTCGTGAAAAGCCAATTCTGTCCCCTCGTCAGCAGCAACAACAACAACAACAAAGATTTCGATCACTTTACACAAGATCATTCACACTAGGTGACAGTAATGAGCACATTGATGTTGACTTGATGCAAACTAAACCAGAAACACACTTAACAACTCAAATATTGTATACTACCCCACCGCCAACTAATGAAAGAGAAGCTTACTATAATGGACTTTTAATGCAAGAAAAACTTAAAGAATTTCATATGGTAAAAAAACCACCTTTTAAGTCAACACAAATAAATCGATTCAGCAGAAAACATCATCATATTGAACCAGATACAATTGTGGACACTGAACTACAAGGATTACTTCAGAAACCATATGATTTTCATCAATATAAACCGACACATTCATCAACACGTAGAAGATGGACATCATCTGAAATTCCAGAAGTGAAAATTACACCAGTTTTAGTTGATTTACCTGGAATACAATATGATGAGCAAGAAAGTAAGTTTATTAGTAGTTACATCAAATTCATTGGAAAAGAATCAGTTTACTAATTAGTTTCTATACTCTTATTGCATTTTAACCATTAAGTGTAATAATAAGAGACAAAATGATATTTTACGTCATCAAGTTCACTATAAGTAAGTAGCGTTGTCCTAAAGGTTGGTATATGTACCTGTAATTGATAAACTTAGTGTTCCTGACGAAGATAATAAGTTGATCAGTGGTTTGCTCAACCTATGAAGAAACCTTATTTGAATTGTTGGATAACCTCAATTTGTTTACCAAGATATTCACCGTCTAGAAGCCGATCAGTGGCAAATGAAAGGAGGTTACAGCGAAGATAATCATTATTTTGACGATTCATTTATATAACTGTCCATCCATAAATATCCTCGTAAAACCATAGAATGTTCTAGGTAAGTTTCCAGTCCAAGGTCAGGTTTAATCAATATATATATATATATATATATATATATATATATATATATATATATATATATACGGGGAATGAAATGACATCACTTAACATAGTCTTAAAAGGTTAATAAAATTCAGTGAACAGTAAGATGTAACATCTGGTAAGAATAGACAAATGAAATATGAAGGTGAAACATAAACAAAGGTCTAGACTATCTGATTAGGGCCATTGTAAAGTGTTTGCGCATGTTTCACTTGAATAAACAATTGGGGTTTGAAACTATGAATCGCCAAAGCTTCAGATACATATAAGTATCCTCACCTCCATTGAGCAATACAGTAGAATATTTTAGTGAACTTTAAATAAAGGTTCCAGAAAAGCCAGAATCTGCAAAACCATCTATAGCTACATCATTGAACATCTTTTATTATTATTATTATTTTGTCCCTTGGATTCCTAGTGGAACATAGGAATTCAGTAGCACGTCTCCATTCCACTCTCTTCTCTCCAATCTTTCAACCTCGCCACACAACAGCCCACAACCTCTCATTTCCTCCTCACATGATCTCCTCCATGTCACCCTCAGATGTCACACACAACTCGTCGTTTCCCCTTTGCATTACACTCGACGGCCTGACCTGGTGCGTGATGCCCCTGAATAGTCTTCCCAGTGTATGCCCAATCCATCTTCATTTTCATCGGCTGCATATTTGTTGGGTGATGGGTTCTTGCCTCGTTGGTTCATTGTCATCCATCCAGCCAGAGTTCCTTGTTGCTCATTCTTATTATTCTGGCCATCTGATCTGATCTTCAGTATCAGTATCAAGTGAGCGTAGGTGGCATCTGTTGATGAATGTGTGTAGTTTGTTGGAAGTGTTTTTCATGACACACCAAGTTTCTGAACCAACACATAAAAGCACTGACTTGACTGGGATTAGTGTTGAAAATCCGGATGTCGTTCTTTGTGCTGAGTGCAATAGATCTCCAGAATGACTTCAGATTAGTGAAAGCCTATCTTGTTTTTCCAATCCTGGCTGCTTTGACATCCTCGTCTGTGCCACCTGTTGGAACATCTTTCAGACTATGAAAATCTATCTCCTCTGGAAACATTTTTCAAAGTTCTGTACCAGATCGTTCAAAAGTGGTGAGAATTAGACACTTAGATACACCTGAAGCCTTAGCAATACACAGTTTCAAACTTCAATCCTCTGTTCAAAAGAAACGTGTAATAATGTGCTCTTTACCCTGGTCTTCAGCCAATATGCAGAGCTTGTGCTTATTTCCTGTTTCTATATATATATATTTATTCATTTGTCTGTTTATACAGGTGATTACTAATTAATTCTTACTCACTATTCAATGCATTTTATATACCTTTTGAGACTATTCCTTGTGTTATGTAACGTCATTTCTTTTCCTTCTCTAAATCGATGGATTAACTTTCCCTTTTAATCGGAAACTTATTTAGAAGATTCTATTACTTTAAGTGTATTTTTACAAATATACAACTATGAAGTGAATCGTCAAAATAATGATTATCTTTACTACCACTTCATTTTGTTTTTCATTAATCAAATGCGAATTTTTCGTTATCTGAATAAAATATCTTAAACCTACTTAGCTGTAGTATAAGAGTTCTTATATGATACCGTCGTTGATTGAACCGAATTGATCGGTCTCTATTAGTATATGGACTCCTGTGCGGATGCCTCTATATTGCCGGCAATCTATTTATGTTAAGAATGGATCGTGGTTAGCACAAGAAGTGCCTACCGTGGCTTGGTGGTGTAGTGGATTACACGTTGCCTTTTGGAGTGATCGCTCCCGAGTCCGAATCCCGGTGAGAACAACTTCATTCAGCGGGAAGCAGGTACATCCAGCTGACGAGTCCCAGATGGGACGAAATGCAATTTTTAGATTCCACTGCTAGTCACGATCCACCTTACTCACCTCTACCTAAAGGAATTGACTTATACTTAGAATTTCTTCAGCTTCTGACAATAGATATAGGAGATGCTAATCAATTTGTTTGATATACAACAAGGTATATTATAAGTGTAAAACTTGGGCATTGTGGTAGAATGTAATTCCATATTAGATTTGTTTATTTAATATATAACGCACAGTGATAAAGTATTATTTCCTTGATTACGTTTCGAGCATAAATTACTGCTCATAATCATATCAATGTAATCACACTTCTTTCGATATCTGATTTTATAGTCCTGTCACCTGATTTTTCTTTGCTTTTTGTTTTTAGATTGGTAGTAAAGTTTTCCATATCTCTGGCATAGGTGTTGTGTCATTCCTATTACATGTGTTGGGTGTGGATGTCACGCATTGTGAATAAGCAATTTCACGTTGCGATGAGGTTACTCTGAATAAAACTCCTCTTAATTCTAAAGTATAAATAGATTCTGATAGATTTATATAAACTATGATCAAGATTTGATCGTATAGTATGGCAAATATTGCTAGCTGAGTAAAAGGTTGATATAAGATATAGATATAGATTATGATGACCAATCATTAAGTGTGAAATTGTATGTCTTTTGTTGTATGGCGTATGTATGTATATACTCCTATTCCTAATCGTCTTGATTGTAAGTATAAGACAAAAAGCCACTGGCGATAGACATTCGGTAATTTTATGAGCACAAAGTGAATTGAAAGAGGTGGATGTGTATGCAAATTCAGCTGGAATAAAGTGGTGAATAGTGTTAGAGGATTTTCTTTGCATTCATTAACCGTAATAGCGTGGAAATTAGTGGTAATAATGATGGCGATGATGATGATGATGATGATGATGAAGATGATGATGATGATGATGATGATGATGATGATGATGATGATGATGATGATGATGATGATGATGATGATGATGATGATGATGATGATGATGATGATGATGATGATGATGATGATGATGATGATGATGATGATGATGATGATGATGATGATGATGATGATGATGATGATGATGATGATGATGATGATGATGATGATGATGATGATGATGATGATGATGATGATGATGATGATGATGATGATGATGATGATGATGATGATGATGATGATGATGATGATGATGATGATGATGATGATGATGATGATGATGATGATGATGATGATGATGATGATGATGATGATGATGATGATGATGATGATGATGATGATGATGATGATGATGATGATGATGATGATGATGATGATGATGATGATGATGATGATGATGATGATGATGATGATGATGATGATGATGATGATGATGATGATGATGATGATGATGATGATGATGATGATGATGATGATGATGATGATGATGATGATGATGATGATGATGATGATGATGATGATGATGATGATGATGATGATGATGATGATGATGATGATGATGATGATGATGATGATGATGATGATGATGATGATGATGATGATGATGATGATGATGATGATGATGATGATGATGATGATGATGATGATGATGATGATGATGATGATGATGATGATGATGATGATGATGATGATGATGATGATGATGATGATGATGATGATGATGATGATGATGATGATGATGATGATGATGATGATGATGATGATGATGATGATGATGATGATGATGATGATGATGATGATGATGATGATGATGATGATGATGATGATGATGATGATGATGATGATGATGATGATGATGATGATAGTAATAACTAATCAAATCAGTCCTGGTTGTGTTGTTGTTGATGCAGAAATAATGGAGTTGAGACTAGTGTTGACGGTAAATGTTTTCAGTCACTCTTTCTACTTACTAACTAGTAATCGCCAAGAGGCAGTTTACTGTACTCCATCTCGTCTGTTCAAACTGTCTGGATTCGCCCATATATGTAGGGCTTCCTCTGTCAATCATTCTTAGTATGTCACGAAACCTTTTTGTAGAACCTTAGATCCGTCGAAGTCAATTTTGTGTCCCATTTCTATGGAGTGTAACACGATCGCGGATTTGTTTTCTGGTTTCTTAACCTCTGCTGAGGTTTTTGAAATCTGCTTTACGCATAGTTTATGCTCATTGACTCTCACATTTACCTGTCTGGCTATTTCCCCTACATATACTGCAGTACAGTCTCTGTATTTGATTTCACAGACGCAGTTCTGCTGATTTTCTTTAGGTACTACATCTTACATTCTAACAGGTATCTAGACTTCAAATCATCTCATACAATGTCAGTTAACGCAGGTTTAGTCAAATGTCTGAATAAAAGAGTTAAAAAACTGACTGGTCAGTGCAAGGACCTAAACAAGGAACTGAGACACATAGAAGAAGCAGCAACAGTTAATGATCATCCTCTACAGTTTATTAACTAATTCTTACGAACAGACAAGAAACGAAATGATAACAATGATACGAGTGTGAATAATAAGGACAACATGAGTAGAGAGGAGGTGACAGACTCCATTATATTACCCTATACTGAAGGAACAGCAGAGAGTTTATGTAGGATTCTCACTGAAGCTGGAATTAGAGTGGCATTTGAACCTTCAAACTCACTCAGAGATAAACTTCGTCGGGTTAAGGATCCGATAG